CTCGCCGCCGCCGACCATCCGGCTGATTGGACACTGCCTAGGCCACCGCCCACACCCACACACCTCTCTTAGCTCCACGCCGCACCCTATGGCCGCTCTTGCCGGCGTTGGTGGCCTGTTTTTGCCACCGTCGTAGCACTTCCATGGCCACACCGCCTCCTGGCCTCCGCCTCTGCCTCTGCCGGCATCGGCCCAAGCCCGGCATCAACGCTCCACGGTCACCTCCACATCGACAGGTATGTTGCTTGGACTGGGAGAGGCGCGGGGCTCTTCACCGACCGGCTTCTTCCACCATGCCCGCAAGGTGTTCACGTTTCGCCCACAAGGTACAAATGGATAGTGGAGATGAGTTCTTTTTCAACAACTTTATTTGTGATTCGGACGATGAGGAGTTTGTGGTTGCTACTTTGGTCGTCAATGACCACATTGCTAGGCAGCGACCATTGTTTAGGGGATCAATCCGGGGCCATGCTCCGGCATTGCATTGCAACAGAGAAAGTGGCCATTGCCTACTCCCAGAAGACTACTTTTAGTGCACATCCCGACTATTCAAATCTAAGCTATTCTGGTGCCATTTTCAGATGGCTAGACATGTGTTCAATCGTATTCGGGAGGGGATGATGGTGTACAATGATTATTTGGTATGCGAGGAGGATGCCTTGAGAAAGGTTGGCATGTCCACTTATCAGAAGTGCACTGCAACTGTTCGGATGCTTGCATACGGAATACCCGGTGATTTTGTTAATGATTATGTTCACATGAGTGAGCCCACATGCCTTGAGTCCATGTACACGTTCTGCAAGGTGGTAGTAGAAGTGTTTGGCCGAAGTACTTGAGAGAGCCAAATACTGCAGATACAGCCGGGTTGTTGGCGATCAATGTAGATAGGGGCTTTTCGGGGGATGCTTTGTAGCATATATTGTATGCACTGAAAGTAGAAAAACTGTCCATCTACTTGGCAGGGGAAGTATATGGGGGGGGGTTGCACCGTGATACTTGAGGTCGTGGCTTCACAAGGTCTCTGAATTTGGTACTCTTTTTTCAGCATGCCTCGCTCTAAACGTGCTTCAGCGTTTTCCGATGTTCGGAAGGCTTGTAGAAAGGAACTGCCCATAGGTCAATGTTGAGATCAATGGCAACCACTACAACAAGGATACTACCTAGCTGATGATATCTATCCTCAGTGGTTAGCTCTTGTGAAGACAATCTCCAATCCGGTTGGAGAAGAGGGTCAGGTTTGCTCAAGCACAAGAGAGTGTTGGGAAGGATGTAAAGTGTGCTCTTGGTGTGCCTTAAAATCGATGGGGCGTCGTTCGATATCCTGCGAGAAGATGGAGCACCAAGAAGTTGTGGTAGGTGATGACTGCTTGTGCGGTCATGCACAACATGATCATACAGGATAAGCGCGGGGATGAAATCTTCAACCTGGGGTTTCAATTTCAGGGTGAAAATGTTATGCCTGAGCATGGAGGAGCGGCAACATTTGCATAGTTCACCAAATTTTATCATGAAATGTGTGATTGGGCAACTCACATTCAACTTCAAAATGATTTGGTTGACCATATGTGAACTCAACTTGATAACCAATAGATTTGTCAGCTCTTTTTCTTTTAGATATATTTGTGACAATTTAAATTTCATTTCGTTTGTAAACCATGAGACTTTTATTTGGTCGTAAACTATGAGATTTTTATTTGGTGGTGAACTAATTTAAACTTTAGGCAATGCTTAGATATGTATGTAAAAAGAATCCAAACGTACAGCCGCATACCGAGCACAGGGACGAGAAAGCATAGGCGCGTTGGGTGCACTGACCAGTCAAACACGGATGGGGCTAGACGCCGCCCAAAATACCGATCCAAACAGAAAAAAAGCAAACAAAATCCATGTTCGCTTGTACCGACGCATTGGAGTTGCCCTTAATACCCTCTTGCAAAGATCACTCTCACTTTCTCGGACATGTGTACCACTTGTCACAACATGTAAGTTTTCCTTTTTCTAGATTCGTTTACTTAAAAGCTTCATCTTTTAACACGTGTGCCCAAATTGTGAACTATTTTCACCGTTGTTTTTCTCGCGTCGAGATCTTCAAAACTAGATGCCCTAAAGAAACCTTTTTCCATAAAAAAAGAAAAAATCAAGCCGGAAGCACCTTTTTTTAACTTTTTTTCTTTTTCGAAAGGCACAGTGCACAACAAAGTTGTGCCTCCACGAAAAGCAAATCTGTCCTTCTCGCGAAAGTGAAACAATTTTTTTTTCCTTTTCAAGAAGCACAATCATGCTCTCACGGAAGAAAACCTATAGCACCACAAGCAGCAAATATGTGCCTCTCACGGAAGGCAAAAAAAAAACATGTTTCTTTTCCTTTCTGTTGTGCCTCCCGCGAAAGCAAATTTTTGCCTTCACGAAAGCAAATTTGTGCCTATTGCGGAAGAAGAAAAAAAGAAAACATAGTCTTTTCCTTTCTGGGAAGAACAGTTGTGCCTCTGTGAGAAGCGAATTTGTGCCTCTCGTGGAAGAAAAAAAAGTGTATTCTCACGCAAATAAATTGAGTTTTTCTCCAAAATCTAGGGAAAAGCGGGCAAAAACAAAAAAAAACCGATAAAACCATCTAAAACCCAAAAGCACGTACAGAAAAATAAAATAAAAATAAAATCCCAACTGAGCACCCAACACGCGACAAATGGCGTGTTCTCAGCCCAACAAAAGTGACTCTTGCTCGGCTTCCACAACGGGTACCCCTTGGTAATTTCTCCCCTGAGACCCAGGGAGAGCTATATCTGTGTAGCAACATGGTAGCTCTTCTCGCCTGAAGCGCGGTACGACCGGCCCGGCCTAGCATTGCATCAGTTCATGTGGTTTTTTTTCTGTGTGTGTTTTTTCTTCTCTAGTTTTCCCCTATTTGGGGCTGGTTTTTTCTGTGTGGCTTTTCTTTGTCTAGTTTTCACTGTTTGGGGTCAGGGTTTCTTGGTTCTTTTTTTGTTCTCTTTTTTTCTCCTTTTTACTATCTTTGTCTTTGGATTTTTCTTTCTTCACTACTTTTTCAAAATAATCGTTATGCTCTGGTTTCTCTATTTTTCGTCGGCTTTTTGGGTTTTCATTTTTTTCTCTTTGTTCTATGTCGGCTTTTTTTGTTTATTTCTTGGTTTTCTTTGCAGTTTTCATTGGGTTTTTATTTGTAACACATGAATTTTTTCAGAAAACAATATGCATGTTTTAGTGTACATGCAAAATATATATTTTTGATACATGTTGAACGTTTTTCAAATATGTGATGTACATTTTTTTCATCTAATACATGTTTAGAACACCTTTTGAATACATGATCATCATTTTTGCAAATACATGTTGAAACATTTTGTAATGGTAACAAACATTTTTATAGAACTACGCGAACATCTTTTTTACATTGTGTAAAGATTTTTTAAATGTCAGAAACATTTTTTTGAAACAAGGGAACATTTCTTTAAAATG